AACCTCTTTTGAACTGCAAATCCAGTTGCAAATTTGGAAGCCACCTTTTTCATGAATCAATATTACTTCTTTAATTTTTTGCAGTGCGCTTTCCTGGTCAATCTCACAATCTAGGTAATCGTCCATGTAATGTAATTTTATTATTGCATCTGCGGCTTCTTTGTAGTCTTTTTCATATTCTGACGCATTCATATTTCTAACTAATTGAGCTAAGCATGGAGAGCAGTTGGCTCCAAAAGTCATTGATGTCATTTCATATTCTTTAATCGGTGCCTTTCTATCACTGCCTCTCCAGAGAAATCTTTGTGCTTGTCTATCATCTGTATTTATTTTAATTTGGAGAAACATTTCTTTTATGTCAGCGCAGAATCCTATTTTCTTTTCCCGAAATTTCATTAAAATGTCTGTTAAGTTATTAAAATAATCTGGGCCAGGTAGTAAATGGTCATTAAGACTGACACCATTGCTTTTACTAGCTGCATCAAAGACTAGTCGTAACTTCCCTGGTTTATTTGGATTAAAAACAGCAAAATGAGGCAAGTACCAAGTTTTATTAGTTTTGACCTTACTTTCTTCTTCAGTCAGTTGCCTTGCATATCCTTTATCCAAAAAAATTTGAACTGCATTAGAATACGCATCAGAAAATGTTTTGTCTCTATTCATTTTACTCTCTATATATTTTAGTCGTTTTAAAGCGTTATCTCGGCTTTCTGGAAGAATGCAATCTTTATCTTTCCAAATTAATCCCACTTCCCATTTATTATCGACATTTCGTTTAATACTTTTCTTAATTTTGTCTATCTGTGGAAGTGTTTTAATCATATCTGCTTTACTTTTGTCTGATCGTATTCCATCCCAATCAAGAGAAAAATAGTGCATTATAAGATCATGAAGATTACTCTCACCTGAGTGATCTTCCATATGAATATGCAAATTAAAGTCAATCATCCTTTGCTTTAATTTTAAATTTCCATGAATGGACCAGCCCAATAAGCATTTTGATAAAGCTGGACCACCCCACGACTCATAAGCAATTTCTCTGCTAACTATCAATGGCCAGTTATCTTGACCTATCAAAATGGTCGGTTTGGCATTAGTCAAATTAGGAATATCAAATTTTTCCAAAAATGTATAGTCTTTTTTTAAGCTATCTATATTTATTGTCTGAATTGGCAGTTTCAGATTCTTTACAGTTCGTACATTATACATTTGATACGACTTTTTGTTTTTACCTGCTATTTTAACTGATATTTTTCTTGAATCATTTTCTGTTCTACAAGTGTCGTTGGTCCACCTCATGGTGAAGGATTCTTTCTCACCAATACATTGAAGTGCGTCTGCAACTCCTTCTTCGATCAAAGTAATTGATGATCCTTCATCGCAAAGGGCGTACGTGTCAATTTTTCCACCAGGACCTTCTAAAAGTACAGGTAAAATTTTTAAAATAACAGTTTTTGGGATATCTGGTTCGAGAACATGACAAACAGCAGATGTACTACTCTGAGGATTGGCAATGTCAGAATTATTCATGTTTACTGATTCTTTATGTAACAAATTGTGATGTTTTCGAGGACATCCATTTACGTTACATGTTTGTTTATTTCTACATTTATTTGTACGATGGTTTGGAAACAACAGAAACAAAGTTTCTTATTTACTGTGATTTTCCATCTGTCATCTACAGTCATATTTTTAAAATCATCACAACTTGTTATATAATGTGAGTTGTTGTTGCATAAGAGGCAGAGAGTCTTTTTGTCATTTGTTTTTATTGTCAAAATATGTTTCGGTTTTCTATCTTTTTTATCAATGGAAGAATGAATGTAAGCAAATTCATCACAAAATTCTTCTAACCAGTTGGCAAAATTTTCAATAGATATTATTTTAACGTTTATATTCCTAACATATTTTCCCCACTGCACCTTAAGCATTAATGGTAATTTATCTACTAAGTCTCGAATTATTTGAGGATTAATTAGATATTCTGTGATTCCAAGACTTTTAAGAATTACCACTGTATTTCTTAGTATATTTGACATATCAATTATGTTATCTAGATTTTCTTCTTTAATAGGTTTTATATATCTGATTTGGCTAAATACCTGTTCAATGATGTCTTCAGTTTTTCCAAAACGCTTCTCAAGAATACACACTATATGATCAACTTCATTTGGAAAATTTAGTAATGACGAAACTGCATCTTTTGCTTTACCTTTGAGTGCCTTTTGTAGTCGACTAATGTTTTCTCGATTCGTAAAATTACACAACTCAGTCGTTTCTTTGAATTGGCTTATGAAGTTGGGCCATTCAATTGGATCACCTGAAAAATATGGCAAGTCTTTGTTAATAGATTGCCGGGTAATAAGTTTTTCTACCATAGAGTTTTCATTTTTAACAAAAGTTTGGACACATCCCTGTTTTCTTTCTTCGGGTTTTACATCGTTTTGTTCCAAATTTTTGATCCACTCTCTGGTATAATTATATTTAGATACATCTGAAATAGTCGCTATTTCTGTCATTTCATCAATTTCAGATCTTTGAAGTTCTAATTGTATCTTTACCTTTTCTTTTTCTCTATGTAACATATTTCTTTGTTTTTCCAAATCTATTTCTAAGTTTTCTAGTTCTTCTAGTTTGTCTAAAGCTACCAGTTCAGCTTGTAATCTTTGTCTTCTTAAAGAAATTTTGGATTTACTAGTAGACCTTTTACTTTTTTCAGTCAATATACTACCTACAGATCTTTTTTCTGTGGGGTCGTTGACATCGTTACCATGGGGCTCTGGAACACTTTCTTTTGGTCCGAAATTGTTCTCTGGAGCATCGCCTAGTCCTACAATGTCTTCATTTGACCTGTCTCTCAAACTTCTTCCACCATCTTGTTTTTGTAATTTTTTATCAATTCTTCGTCCTGACCTCAGTAATATTGGGTCTTCTATAGTGGACATATCTCCGCTATGCTATTTAACGGCTCGTAAAAGGACCAAATGTAAATTTTATATCCAAATTAATACAAGGTGACGTTAATATCTCTTTAATTCAATCAATCATCCTGACAATTCCCTTAATTATACAGTCTGTTAAAAATATCTGTAACACCGGTGGCTAAAGAAATTTTAGAAAATATTTACAAAAATGTGCCATCAGCACTTTACTTGTAACATCCTGTATCTCGAAAACGAAACGTTTTCGAACCTATGTTTAAATGAACTTTTACTTCTATTTTAGGATGTAGATTACGCTGTTAAAATATGACCCGTCTAATTTTGGGACACCCTGTATATTATACTCAATATACTAATTTGATATTGCATAAGACATTGAATGAATTACCCTTTAGAAACGGCCATGGATATAGCTTCAACATCCGGAATGGACTGTTTATTATTCTTACAATTACTAGTTGACCTGAAAAACGGAAAATAATTATGTCCCCCAAGTTTACTAAATTTTACAGTTATACGTATTTTATTGAAAAACTAATTCAGAATTTTTTTGTAAAACTTGGAAAAAATCAATACAAAACTCACTTTTTGAGTAATAAATTTTTTTGAGCTTTCTTTCGGCTACGTCTCTTTTCACTACAAAATAAACGTTTTCCTTTATCAACCCCTTCGTTTGTTTTATTCTTCCCACAAAAACACTGAAGTGCCGACAATGAACTGAATCAGCAGGCGAAATCAAATTTATAATAGAATAAATAAATGTCTACCACAATCGAGTCAAAATCCCACAAACAAATAAAAATCAAATCTTTCACTTATCTGTTATTTGGATGCCGCGGCGCCACTAATCAATCGTTGTAAAATGCACTTTTTATTTTACGCCCCAAAGGTTCATTTATCATTATTTACAAATGAAACCCATACTGAAGATTAAAAAAAAGCTGCACTTTCGGGAAACATATTAATAAAAATATTAATATGTTGTTCACAATAAAAAAAAATACTTTCCCGTAAAATATTGAAAATTTTATTAATATCGGATATGTAATATGGAAACAGAAGGTAAAATCATTTCAAGTGAGTATGAAGCCCTCTTAAATAAAATAATATTAATAATTTAAAAAAAAATATTATAAAATATCAAATAAAAAATAATTAGGAATGAATATATTTAAAATATCCAGAGGGTCTATTTCTTCGAGCTATTCTAAAGCTATTGAAATACATACTCAGAATATCAAAATTTAATGAATTTATACTTCTTTGCATTCTTATTAGAGTACTAAATAAACCATAATTAGGTCTGTGAAATTAAATGAAAAATAATTTGGACGAGTATATCTTACTGATACCCTAAAATTCAGAACAATGAATAGATTCTGAAATGACTTTAGGCATAAATAATAAATCTACAGTCCCCATTCAGGATCCATTAGGTTTAATAAAACATTATAGTCATAGTTGTCAAATACTAAACCTAATCTGAATGCACAGTGTCTCGGAAATTTGTTATTTACAGATTTTTTTTGTTTTTATCTGTTTTATAACATTTATTGAGTCCATGTTTAGTCTATCTTTTTATTTTCCTGTTGTCGACTAGTTTATTGTCCTAATGATTTTAAAATTAGTATTTATTAAATATTATTTTTTTAAACTGTAAAGTAAATACATAAAAAAAGAGTTTTAGAGACTATTTTATGTTTAAAAATAAAAATTAAACAAAAAAATATAAAACAATCTTTTTAAACAAGTGTTATTAAATTTAATCTTCGGATACGACCTTAAAATGTGTATCAAGGATTATTGTTCTTTTTCCTTCAGAGTTAATTTTATATTTATCTCATTTTTAACATTTTTGTTTTATAAGAGATAACATTTAAATTCGAAAATTACACTAAAAAAATAACCTGTTAAAGCATATAAAAGTCAGTATTCTTTTGTTGTTTCTTCTCTTTTAAACTATATTTTACCTTTGTAATAAATGTCTATTGGACATGTCTGTGGCCATTTCCGAGCGATCCATCACTAGTATAATGTAAGTCAATTTTTTGATTAAAGGTTGACGGAAGTCGACAACGATGATTCCGTCAGCGTGGCCCAATCAGACGAAACTCGTTCCGAAACGGACGACAACGCGTGCTCCAGTCGAAGGCAGTCGACTTGTTCTAATTCCTTCGTTCCTATTACGACCAATCAGAACTATGTATCCAGCGTGACAGTTCAAAATATGAGTTTTCTCCCTTCCAACGGACCGTCGTCAGTCAGCACCAAGAACAAGTACGTCGTTACGTCTTCTTTCACGTCGGTGAGTACTGTTGATTTTAGCGCCGTTTTTACGACTATACCATATAATTAAACATTATTTCCAAATATAAATAATACTGAGATGATTGGTTTAAAGAAATCTTCCATTTTTAGGAATATAAAAATGATAGAATGAATAGGAAAGTCTATCAAACGGAACACACCGACAACAATGCTAACAGGGTGTTTAAGGCATTAACCATGGAACAATCTGAGTCTCTGGGGGAAGGAAACGAAGTCAAAACATCGATATACAAATCGACAATCGTTAAAAACGGGCTTATTGCCAAAGATTCCGAATTAAACAATTTGGCTGGTAAGTAATCATATGTCAAAATGACGAACATGAACAAATCCATCTCTATCTAAATAATGTCATTCTCCGCGCTTTTATTATTTCGTGTAGGTCCCAGCGGCATGATCGAATCACAAAAATCCCACCACAATCGGCCGAACGAGATCCTGCTTAGCAACTGCAGCTTAAACTCGAGTTCGAGCGGTTCGAGCAGCCACAGCTTCGAAAACAAAAACGCTTCGGAACAGTGGGAAAGCAAACAGTGGCTAAACAGTTCCGGCAGCAGTTTGAACGTCACGCTTACGCCATCGGAGAGCACCAGCGAATTATCTGTAATGAGCATCGGTAAAAAGACGGCAGGTGAGTCTGAAGAAGTTGGGTTGAAATTAAATTTAAAATGAACCAAAATAGGTTGTGGGTGTGCACTTAGTTTATAACATAGACCAGTAAATTGAGACATACAAACTGAAAAATTTAGCATTAATTCAAACATTTTTTAAACTTAAAGAACCGAATGAATGGAAAGGCGCCGATTTTGCAGATACAGGTTCGGAAACATTGTTAAAGTAGCAAAAAAACAATAATGGATTGCTAGACGATCAAAAATGTAACATAGCTGCAAAGTAATTAATTGCTGTTAACGTTATTTGATCTCATTTAGCAATCAAAATACTAATCACAGTATACTCGCTAATATTGCCTTAAATGCCTGTGAAAATTTGCAATTCTCTCTGATGATGGGGTAGCAATAAATAGACTTGTTCTCAAAAATAATTTTAATTTTAAAATTCAAACTCATGTCATATCCAAAATTCAATATCCCTGTTTCCCCAGCTACAGAGGGAATTTAAGATTAGACTCCTCCGCTATAGTGGCTACTTTACCTCTCTTCTTAAAAACGTTAAACATTTGTAATTGTTTTGCCAATCAATATTTATATCGAATAGTAGGCCGGTTTCAAACAATGGAAATATTTGTCGGTTTATTTTTGGAGCTAATACAGAAAAACTTTTCGTTTCTTATGGTTTTATAAAAAACATGTGTAGAAGTTTAAAGATTTTCGGAGATAAAAATATGTTTTACCTTGATGGTATACATTTTAAATTACTCATAAACGATTTTAACTGATCTGCAAATGATGTAGGACAACTCTCTGTAGGATTTTCAAAAAAATCACCTGGTAATTTAAGAGTAGATCTGTAGAGTGGTGACCCGTCAAATGCGCTCCGAACAGTACGACCAGTCCGATGCCCGAGCGGCTCCTGTATAATATTCGGCTCGAGCGTCTCGCGTATCGGCTCGGTTCGAGCCTCGAACGATCCTAGTGTTCCGTACTTCGAATCATTCGAACTCTCGGTAATGAACTTATCATCGAGTAATTTTTCCATACCTAGTTGCATATTATTTAATAAAATTAATAAAACCTCGATCGTCCCTTAGTGCGACTCTGTAAAAGCAGCCTCGTCAGAGAGATCACGTGTACAAGGTGTGATAATGTTTTCGAGCACTCCATTACTTAGATGGACCGAGTTTATGACTGGTTACTTATTCGAAATATCAAATAATTTTCATTTATTCCAATGAAAAAAATCCTATATACTTACTGTAAACGTAAATGAAGTCAAAAACTTATTCTTATCACACTTATATTACGGGGACCGAAACACATTAATTACTTTTCACCACTAAATTTAATGTTTTTTTTTTTTTTTTTTTTTTTTTAATGGCACTGGATATAACCAAAAGGCCAGACTATTGTAGTAATCCATAAATCTTTAATTGTTTTATCCACTATTGTTACATGATTACATTATTATTATATTTTGACTTACAGCTATCAAAATACCTGAGTTTGTAATTAATTAAATGATTCATTCAGAGTACGGAACGCTCGGATCATAAGAGACTCGAGCCGCTCGAGTCGTACCGGTACGCGATGCGCTCGTATTGTTCGGAGCTGTCTTGTAGCGTGCTCGAGCTGCAATTTTTCGAGCTTGATCGCGAGCGCTCGAACTTTACAACCTCGTGCACATCCCTATTTATAATTTTATGTTGAACCTATACAGAGAACCTATCCAATTAGTACGTAATTGTTCAATATTTTAATTTGTGTTATAGACACGTAAACAAGTTTCAAATAAAAGGTGTATGGAGTTGAAAAATACATATTTTAAAAATATTTTTGGATATGCAGGTTGTTGCGTTTTTGACTGGCAAATAAAAATGTACATCACGACCATTTATTGCTGGGTTCTAATTAACAGTGCTGTTCTTAAAGTGGCGCTGGGAAATAGTAACAAAGTCTACACAGAACACGAGGCTAATAACCGTAGTAGTTGATGCCGATGACACAAAAAAAATGTACATCAATTGTTCGGTGATACTATATTCAACCCTGGAATGTTTTTAAAAAACATTTCTGGCTTGCTAAGCAATACATTTTTTATGAATAATATAGGCCCAAAATTAAATTATCATAATTTTAAATAGGTTTACATTGATTTCAACATTGTTTGAAATACAGACTTATAAGATACTAAGCTAACGAATAGTGGTGATAGAATGGTTCATTTTATGCAGTATTTTGAAACATGTCTTAAATATGGCTAATTTTAAGTTCAGTTTACTCAATTTTTCAAATATTATTAAATTAATGGATAATTTAATTAATAATTGGGAAGACTTATATCGAAAAAATGAGAAGAAATCTTAGGTCAGTTCCAATATTTCCTATTAATGTGTGGAATATGTTTGACAGAGTAAATTTGCCACGTACAAATAATTCTGTAGAAGGTTGGCATATGGCCTTTTAATCGACTATAGATTATTATCATCCATCAGTGTATAAGATTATAAAGCATTTCATAAGAGAACAAAATCAAATGGAGACAAAATATGTTCATTTCCAAGCTGGATATCGTGACCAGAAGCATCCAAAAATAAATACGTGCAACTCCAGCGCATAAAAATAGTAGTGCAAAATTATGATAGAAATGACATTATCAATGGGCGTGTTTAGTGAAATTCAAAAATATTTTTTTCTAAAAGCTAGCACAAAATCTAATCTAAAAATATTTTTTTGAAATATTTTTCTTTTCAAATTTCCCTACAAGAATTTTTTAAAATTCCAACTAATTCAAGCAAATTTGAAAGAGGCGCCACAATGATTTTTAAACATCGTCATAATGAAGCCTAAAATTGGCTAATTTATAACCTTCCAGACAGTATTCGATATGTTTTTACCTTGTTGCCGAAGATAAAGGTTAAGATCGTATAATTTAACATAAAAACATATATATTAAAACTAAAACAATATTTGTTAAATTCAGTTTTTATGAAGCACTTACTATTTCAATAAACTTTCTTCCTAATCCAAATGTTATTTAAATCATAATCGCCATATCGCAAAATATTTTCTCTAAGTCTGGCAACGTGGTTTCATCTGTGCATCTAAATCCTAACCTCATTTGCGATTGCGAGATTATTTTGATTTATTTTAAAATTGTTTTTTAATTTTTTAAAAATGGCCAAAGTACAAACATGATTAAAAGAAGAATCTTTAGACAACTTACTCAAGGTGGATTCTAACATGATTAATGATTTTTTTATATAAATAAATAAATAAAATTTATGACGTCACCGGGAATAGACCAATAGGAGCTAGCGCACAACGTTGCCGGTTAGAAGGTTTACGAGAAGTGATGTACGTTCGTTTGTGTACTCCTTCTTAATTTTAGACTTCTAAATCATTGTTAAACAAATATCTTTTAAATACATAATATCAAATGTTTTTTGAAAGTATTATTTCTGTTTAAACTTTTACCATATTTAAAGTTTCATTGTTTTAAAAGTCACTTAATAATTCAGAAAATGGCAAAATGGCAGCACTGTGTATGGCATCTGTCGTAGTGTCTCGATCAAGAATTTATTTGGAATTTGAGTGTTTAATTTTGTACTTTTTATAAATATTATGACTAGGAAAAAGTGTTTTGTTCCAGAATGTGATAATGATTCACATTCATCTTCAAAAATATTTATTAGTGTTCCTAGAAATTTGGAAAGAAGAAAATCAACCTTCTACTGGCGATGTTTCTCGTGAACTTTTTAATAAAAATACACCGGATTATCAAGATGTAGTAGCAATTTCTGCGAATTGTCCCCTTCAGGAAATTGAAAATGAGGCTACTCTAAATTCTTAGGTGTATAACCTAAAAACCCTTCTGGAAGAAAATGCAGAATCTCCTGAAAGTTTTGAAGATACGAATTTATTCATCATTTTGTGGAAGAACTAGTGATAAAGAAATAATAGAAAAATGTGGGTATTTAAACAAACTGGTTCCTGGATCCCATATAATGGCAGATAGGGGTTTCAGAATATTCAGCTACTTGAAAACATGGGATGCACTTTAGTAAAGCCACACCTAGTGTATCACAGAATGAAAAAAGTTCTCCAGAAGATGTACAATTAAGTAAAAGAATAGCATCTCTAAGAATACATACATGTGGAAAGAGTTATAAGAAGGGTTAGTTAATTTAACATGTTAAAACCACATTCGTGTGTGAATTTTAAGCAAGTACATTTACTTAGTAATATCTGCATAATTGCTTGTTAACTTACAAGAACCTATTTTGTAAGAGTAAATATTAATTTAATAAACTTTTTTGTTTGTTTTTTAATTTAATTTACCTAATTATCACATTTCAGGGATTATAATGAGTTTTTAAACAGCCAATGTAATTTTTGATAAAAATTTAACTTTTCGAGCAAATCAAAGAGGAATGAGTTCCTGTATATGCATAGATTTTTTTGGGACTAAAACTACCAAAACAAAGGCACCTATTTACAGCAGTTTAAAATGAAACATTTTAACAAAAACGCCTATGTCGCGGTGATAAATATTAAAAACAACCAAGTTCAGTTGAATGTGGTAGCAAAGTCTATATATTCCAATAAATCGGGTAACTACATGTGGTATCACTGGTGATAAATTTAAAAATATCACAATTCTTGCTACCTTTTTCAAAAAACCAGAAAGTGTGCCTTCTTATCAATCCTTTATGAAAATGACAACAGTAATAAATGTGAAAAAAAAATTGTATGTTGCTATTCATTATTACGATAGTAAAACAGGTTTGCAGTTCCGTTTATTTTTTATGAAAATCTAAGTAAAAACCAATGTCAAAAGGTTATAATTTGTTTTCTGTCAAACCAAATATATCACAAAATTAAAAATTGATCATAGGTCAAGCTAAAGTAATACCTTTCTTGATAGTAGCTTTAAAAAAGGAGAAAGAATAATATTGACTTAAGTTATTATTATTAACATTGGCGATTTTTAATAAAAACTTTTCAATTATTG